CTCCCCCCCGTCTCTTAACTACTATGTTGTTGTTGGTTCCTGTCTCTCTCTCTCTCTCTCTGTCTCTCTGTCTGTCCCGATGCTCGCCCGCCCACTCCCTGTCCGACTGACTCGTCCGTCCTCTGCGTGTTTTTCCAGCACCAACGAGGGGGTGTGGTCTAACCAGGGCTGCGTCCGCTCCGACGGGAACATGACCTACTCCGTGTGTCTGTGCAACCACCTGACCAACTTCGCCATCCTCATGCAGGTGGTGCCGATCAAGGTGAGCGTCATCGACCAATGAGATCGTTAGGGGAGGGGCCTAAACCACTGCTGCAGCTCTCGCGCGAACGGACGCGTGTACTCGTCACACGTGTACCCAGTATACTTCAAGTACCGATCCTCGTCCCCCCCCCACCAGAATAGGGTTAGCTCCACGACGGGGGGGCCTGGAAATAGAATATAAAAAATATATAAAATATTTAAAAAATATAAAAAATATTTAAAAAATATATAAAAAATATAAAAAATATTTAAAAAATATAAAAAATATTTAAAAAATATAAATAATATAAATATAAAAAATATAAAAAATATATATATAAAACATATAAATATATATATATATATATATATATATATATATATATATATATATATATATATATATATATATATATATATATATATATATATATATATATGCTATATATATGCTATATATGCTATATATATGCTATATATATATATATATGCTATATACATATATGTGTTCATACATGTATGTATATATGTATACACACACATATACACATATATAATGGGTAAACATACACTGTATATATACATACATTTGTATAAATATTAGTGCATATATACTGTACGTGTGTCTATACTATATGCTATATCACTATACTATATATGATTGTTAAAGAACGATAATATCTTTTACAGCACACAACGTTTCCTCTGGTTCACTGGTTATGACTTACAAGTTTATTGCTGGGGTGAGCGTCTTGTCGTCTGTTGATGGTGTCACGGTCCCCCTCGACCCGACCCGACCCGGGGCAGGACCAGTGTCTCCGTGCAGCTGGACCATCACGTCCAAGTAGAGACAAAGTGGAAAACGCGATTTCGAAACTCCCAGGATTCCTGAAGGCGTCGGGGATTTGAACTCAGTTTAACGATCACCTGACGATGATGTCACCGCTCGGCCACGTCAACTCCTCTGGTACCGAAGAAGAAGTTGGACTTGAATCTGTCGACTTTCTTCTCCTTCGTGAACCGGCCAATCAGATTTAGAGAAACGTTGAACCCAGAGTTGACCAACAGTCGGTGCTGCTGTAAAAAAACGTTGTTTTTTTTTTTGGTTTTTTTTTTTCCAGACCAAAGATCAACAAGACCAGGTCCAGAACCAGAGCAACAAGGTTTTCCTCTACTGTGCCTTCCTGGACTACAGGTGAGTGTGTGACGTCATCACGGCAACACCTGCTGGTGACTCCGTGTACTGCTCCTTTATTAGTATTGTTGTCGTTATCATTGTTATTATTATTACTATTGTTATTATTATTATAGCTATTATTATAGTTATTATTGTTGTTATTATTATTACTATTGTTATTATTATTATTGCTATTATTATAGTTATTATTGTTGTTATTATTATTACTATTGTTATTATTATTATTATTGATGATAATATTATTTTTATTATTATCATTATTGTTGTTATTATTATTATTATTGTTATTATCATTATTATTGATGTTAATAGTATTATTATTTTTATTATTGTTGTTATTATTATTATTATTTTTATTGTTGTTATTGTTATTATTATTATTATTATTATTGATGT